CACACACACACACACACACACACACACTTAAAAGACACGCTATTTAGTGCAGTGGTTCTTAACCTGGGTTCGATCAGACCCCAAGAGTTCGGTGAATCGGTCTCAGGGGTTCGACAGAGGTTCTGCCATGAAGTTTAAGACATACCCAACGAATTCACATGCATCACAGAACGTGATGGGAATCGGCGTCTTATCCGCACGATTTGTCACGCCAAGTTGAGCAACTCGAGTCTGGCACCGACCGGCAAAAGTGAAGGAACACTTCTCGAATCAGATTTTTATGTTTCAGTCATGAAGGCTTCGGTGAACGTGCATATGAACCGGTTGGGTTCGGTACCTCTCACGAGGTTAAGAAGCAGCCATTTAGAGTTTGGTGAACCGAGCATATGCACATGTTGGGAGCGAGGGCGGGCCTTTTGAATCCTCCCTGAACTAAACTCTCACAAGGCACGCCGATGTCTGCCATGATGTCACACACGCCAACGGTTCCGACTGCGAATGCAATTTTCACACCGAATGTTCAATTTCCGACGTCAGGGGCTCAACGAGACTCAACGTCAAGGCGTGAGCACGTCTCCAGCCGTGTGGCGAATCCACTTACTGTATTTGGTCTTGGTGAGGACGGAGCAATTTTCCGAGCAGTGCTCCAGAACCATGCGAGGCCCGAAGAGGTTGGGACAGCACTCTAACTTGATGCAAGTCTTCCGGCAGAAGTCGGCCACGCGGTCGGCCGTGCGCACTATTTCCACCGTGGCTCGGTAGCTCTTTCCCTTGTATCTGAAACATAGGAGAAGCACAGGTTGACTTGCGTTTGTCCTTTGGGTCGTCGCAGCGTCACGTGTGAGTTATACGAGCCCAGCCGCTAGCCCTCGCGCCGTTGCGGCCGGCTATTCCTTCTGAGGAGCGAGAGGAGCTGTCCGCGGCACGGTGTTTCCTCTCACTTGGCTTTGAGAGTCTCTCCGTTGCCTTGCCAGCGACTCTCCTGGTCCAGCTGCAATTCCCTCAGCACGCGGCTCGGCTTGTACGCAGAGTTGATCAGAAGAGTCAAAACCTGCGCAAACAGTCAAGACGACGCAACACTTGACGGTTATTTGCAAGTGGGCGGCTTTCGTCTTGATTGGTCTCCTGTGCGGCGCTGCCAGGGAGGCGCAGATTTGCGCTTTTGTTGATCGGCCATTCGGTACTTGGTTGATGGAGCGAACAAGTGCCCTCGCCGACGAATTCACCCGTAGTACATTGCGGACAACTCATAAATATGAGCGGTGATACCCAACTACTGTGCCAGAGCACATTTCACATTTGGAATCCTACCGACTTTCCAAATCTTTTTTGGAGGCTTCCTGATGCCTCATTCAAATTCCCCAAGACAATGTCATCCCCCCGCTCGATGTAAGCTCTCATCCGAAAAATATCAAAGATGAAAGCATGAAATATTTCAGCGTGTGCCGCGACTCCGGCTAATATGTGTGCGTGAAAAGAATGACCTCTTTGATCACAAGGACACAGTTTCCGGGCCCAATGAACTGAGGCAGCTCAGCGATGCGGCCCTTATTCAGGTACGGCCCGGAGAAACAGCGATGGTTAAAGTAGATCTTGGGACAGCAGTATTTCCCATTTCCCTGGCCTGCAAAGAGGAGAAGAACACAAGGCGTGCGCCGCCGCAAAACGAGTTTAAACGGGAAGTCCGATCGGCTGGAGAAATTCCCCCACGGCCATATTCGTACTCACTGTTTCTCCGGCTGCACCACGGCTATCTTTCTCTCATTTTCGACTGAAAGACAAGGAGAGGTTTGTTCAAAAGACATCTTTGCACCTCAAACATTGAACGCTTGACTCGATGGCATCACTTCCATGCAACTCTTCTTATTCTTATGTGAAGCACAACCATACATTGGCCGGCGAGGGGATGCCAACCTGCGAGCTTGATGGGGTGCACGAGCGGATAGCCGTTTGTCTCACACCAGCTGACAGGGAAGATGTCCAGAGAGTCCACGTGAACTGTCAGCTCAGGCATGGGATGCTTTAGACCTGAAGAAACGACACCAAAAGGTATGAAAACATCCTTTGCAAAGCCAAGAGAGCAGTTTGCCCCAATCGACGGTTCTCGGATGTTTTGTTCTCCTCTGGAAGGGGGCTCGGCTTCGAAGATCATCATTTAAGGTTGCGGGACACGGCATGTGTTCATGCAGACTCATCAAAGCATTGACGCAGGGCATGAAGTGTTTTTTGGATCCTGGCTCTCACCTTCCAGGCTGAGCCAGATGTATTGGCCTTTCACCCTGGTGACCGTTGCCACGTGAATGTTCTCCGGTGACAGCGGGTTGACGGCCTCCAGTTTCATGGACTCTTTAAAGCTGTGCTCGCACGTCTCCTGGTCGTGTTGAAAGAAACCAAAAAGCTGGTTTTAGGCAAATTCCGAAACAGCACATATTTTCTGTCTGGTAACCCACCGCCCAAAAAAATGACAATATATCCATCATAAAAAGTGACTAGCGCACTGGCCACAACACAATCAGATAACATCAATTGGGGGGTTGGGGGGGGAATGCTTTCAACATTTTCACTGATGGGATGTCATGAACGACACTGCAGATTTGATGATGTCGTCGGTACAATGTAATATTTCTGAATCCCGTCCACGATTGTGAAGGTACTACATGTAAAAATAAGAAAATCAAGGTTTTGCTCCAAGCCGCAATGGCCTTTTCGGATTTCCCCGTCAGAATCTTCATTCCAGCCAGCGTACGGGTATGTGCGCGCCTGAATCTTTTGACCCGCCAAAAATGTGGATTTGTCCAGCAAATAAATATGTGAGCGGTTCACAGGAGGCGAATTTGCAGTAGTGGTGGTGGTGGGATCAAGACCGTTTGGTTACACCAAAGAGACAGATTCATATTTGCACATGTCTACACTCGAAAGAATCTTTGCAGATCGGGACACTTGGCAGCACGCAGCCAGCTGCATCTTACGCTCGTGACTTCCATTTTCATTTCCGCAAACATCTCATTAAGCGGGAGCGGCTAGCACTGAAGCGCCGCCTTTGATTGGGACCGGCAGATGCGAAAGGGGATTTGGACTTACCGCGGGGAAGCAGTGCTCAGGAGCCGCCGCGGCCTCACATCGTTTGAGGTAATCGGCCCAGTCAAAGTCTGGACCCTGGTACCCTACGTAGGACAGAAAGGAAGGAAAAAGGGAATCGAGTTACTCGAGGTGACGGCGCGGGACAAAAGGGGAGCAAACTAACCTGGCGGCGGGCTGAGAGGGAGTCCATTTTTAAGACTCCATTGAGCGGGAAAGATCCCGGGACTGTCCCTGTGGCACAGGAAGGAGCGCCCGGAGGCGTCCGACTCCTCCATTCCGCAAAGGTCGTCCATGCTCACCAGGAAGTAGTGCTCGTCGAACACCTGGTGAGGGCCAAAACAACGCGCTTTGAAAAGCTTTTCTCGTCTGGCGAAAGTCTGCGTCGAGCTAAACGTGAGGCGCAAACATGAGACGGGAGAGCGATTTGCCAGTCGGGTCTGTTACCTTGGCGACAGTGGCCGGCCTGATCGAGATGGGCGCGGCGGGGTCCACGGCTTCCAACTTCATCCCTTCTTTGAAACAATGAGGAGCAACTCCAGGCTGCTCCTGACAACCACACAAGCGCAGATTTCGGCTCACGCTCGACAGGTTTTTGTTTTCACTTGAGATATTTGTCCAAGGACCGCGCCTCAGCGTTCGAAAGCCAAACCAACAAACCGAACGACTCCACCAAGTGTAGCGCTCTAAATGCCAAGTCGAGTGTCCTCTTTTTGTTGCTTTCTCGCCGTCGCTTACTCACTTCCACGACGGTGGAAAGACATTTTTGTTTGAGAAAAAGGTTGACGCGTCACGAGAATAAAGTCACATTTTTTTCAGGATCAAGTCGCAGTATTCTGATTTTGAAGGCCAACATTTAACAAG